CCCGGGGCGCCGACGGCCACGGCCCAATAGGAGCGCAGGACTGATTACCTGTAGGGTAGGGCGGGGCCATCTTCTGCCAGTGGGGCGCGCGCAGTGCGGCTCCTCCCGGTGACGAAACCGCTGGGGGCCGGACCGGGGGCGCGACCCCGTGGGATTAGTTGCGCGTACCCGGCCCGCGGAGGGAAAACTCGTTGTCAGAGCTGACGCTCCAGGCGGTCCCAGCGGCAGCAGATGTGAGGCGGTGGTCTAGGACCGCGAACCGGGCTCAGCAGCTCAAACCCGGGATCCCGTGGACCTAGAATCCCGGGGAGGATCCCAACCCCTCCCTTCCCTGTGAACCCCAGATCCTAGGCAGGTAAGAGTTGGCTACACTCGCTGCCTCCGCTTCTGATCGCTTCTCGGCCTGACGGATTTTATACCGTCGTAAAGACTTCTCAGCCTTTTGTTTTCATCCCACAGATTCTGCTGGTGCCTTCTTGTGACCTCGGAGGTGGCACTGGGGGGCCAGGAGGACACTGCCCCTATGTTACAGATTCTGTGCTGTTTCTTGAGACAGAGAGTGTGCACACCTGTAGACAGCCGGCCCCCCACCTACTGAAAGGACCTGCAATCCTGCACACCCAGCAGGCTGGGTGACTCACGGAGGACTGGCTGGGAAGCTGCCAGCCCCGCTTCCTCTGTGCTTGCTGTGGCCTTGTCCCCTGGGCCATCAGGAGTCCACTCTGGCACCCAGCCTTGGCAGTTCCCAAGGACTGGGAAAGGCACCTTGGTGGGCATGGGCCTCTGCATCCCTGGAACTTCCTCTGGGTGGTCTGGGGAGGAGGCCGGAGGAGCCAGTGAATGTGTCCACTGGACACTGATTCTTGGACCTGCCCCTCCCAGGGCCCCACTGGACATAGCAGCTGAACCCATCAGGAGCCCTTTCTAACCAGGGGATGCTTGCTGGGGGAGCTAAGGGGTACCTTGTGGGACCCTTGTGCTGGAAGCTATTCCAAGGGCCCCACTGCCCCAGTCCTGTGAGGACAGGACCAGAGGAGCCCTGGTTGGGTTTTAGAGGTGGGGACTTTTCTATAGGAGGCCTCTGTGGGGGTCCCCAGATGGTGGGAGTCCATGCATTGCCCACAGGGTGCAGGGCCCAGGGTCTCTCCAGTCCTACAAACTACCCCCTACCACCACCCGTGTGTGCCTCCTTGGCCAGGAGGTTGGAGGCCTTGATGTTTTGGATCTAACTGGTGTCAAGGCCAGGGATCCTGGCCTTCCTCTGCCTCCAGGCTGTGGGGGTTGAGTGCTGGGAATTCCCAGCACCTGTAGAGCAGAGGGTGTGGCCCTGAGGGAGGGCAGCGCCCTTTGGTGAAGTCACTGTCACTTACTGACAGGCACAAGTGCTTGTGTACAAAGTCGCCACGGTCCACTCCCTCAGACTGGGTCCTCACTGTGGCCTCCAGGAACCTGGAATGGATGGGCAGGCCGTGGGTAGGCTCCCAGGGCTTTGGGTTGCTGTCAGCTCCTCCCCATCACTGCTTGGCCACCTGGGAGTCAAGGTCCTGCCTCATGGCAGCTTTCAAGAACTCCCCAGGGCCTCCCAGAGCACACAGAGCAAGGAGGTGACCCTTGGAACCAGAGAGACGCACCATGCAGGAGTGGAAGTGACCTTTGGCAAGACTCCTGGGTGGGGCCGAGGACAGGTTCTTCCATCCCTGGGTGCCCTCTGCCCCCAGGATTTCATAGATGCCCCGAGTTTCCAAACTGAAGAGCTGGCTACAAAAGCGACACAAGCTCCTCCAGCTCCAGCCCTGGTCCCAGCTACTGCAGCTTCTTCG